CATATACCACCTTTCACCTAGATTCTTTCAATGTTAACATTGTAACACATTTGCTTTATCAATTTCTGTATACATGATTTTTTTGCGAACCTTTTGAGATTGCATATATCATGTCCCATTCTCCCTAAATAGTCTAGTGCGTATTTTCTTAAAAACCAAGGACTTTTCCTTGAATAACCACAGTACAATGATCAAATCCAGGACATTAGCATCGATACGATGCTATTACCTATTCTACAGACCTTACTTAAATCTCAGCCATTGTCTCAAAAATTTCTTCATCAAGATTCAATCCAAAGGGGCGCCTGGGTGGCTCAGTTGTCCGACTTCCGCTCAGGTCATGATCTCACAGTTTGTGGGTTCGAGCCCTGCATCGGGCTCCGCGCTGACAGCTAGCTCAGAGCCTGGAACCTGTTTCAGATTCTGTGTCTCCCTCTCTCTCTGACCCTCCCCTGCTCATGCTTTCTCTCTCTCTCTCTCTCTCTCTCAGAAATAAAACATTTAAAAAATAAAAAAAAGATTCAATCCAAGATCATGTAATATTTACTTGTGACATTTCTTTCGTCTTCTTTAATCTGAAGGTTTTGACAAGTATAAGCTGGTTATACTGTAAAATATCCCTCAATTTTTCTGGTATTTCTTACTTGATTAGACTCAGATGATAATTTTTTGGCAGGAATACCACATAAGTTCCATGGTATCTTCAATCCATGGCATCACAATGCACAAAATGTAAAGTTGTCTTATTAATGATGATACCAACACAAGCTTTTCAAAAGGGAAATAGCATTTATAAAAACTTGAATGTGTTTTTTAAAACATTTGTAAACAATTCATAATGTAAATTTCAGTATTAGCACTCAAAAAGAATGTGTATATACATGTTTATGTATACACACATACAAATTGTAGGATGTAGCAAAAGATAATTAAAGTTGGAGCAGGTGTTTATGTCAGAATAGAAAAAAAATTAAACCTGAAATGTTCAATTTGTGAAATAAGAAAAATAACAGAATAAACTGCCAGAAATCAGGAGAACATAAAGTGAAAAGGGCAGAGAGTATCAACAAAGCCAAAAGCTAGCTCTTTAAAAACTCATAAAGGGGGGCACCTGGGTAGCTTAGTCAGTTAAACATCTGACTTTGGCTGAGGTCATGATCTCATGGTTCATGAGTTGGGTTCAAGCCCATATTAGGCTCTCTGCACTGACAGTGCAAAGCCTACTTGGGATTCTGTCTCTCCCTCTCTCTCTGCCCCTTCCCTCCTCACACACACTCTCTCTCTCAAAGTTTAATAAATAAACCTTAAAAACAACGAATAAAGGAGACAAATTTCTAGCAAAGTGGTCAAGGAAAAGAAAGTGAGAAGACAAAGAACATTGGGGAAGGAAAGAGAAAGCTTAAAAAATACAAGGATACCCTGAGTCACATTATGCTAGTAAGTTTGGGGGGGGGTGGATATGAGTACATGTTTAGAAATAAATTTTTTTTTCAAAATTGACTCAAGAAAAAATAGAAACCTTGAGCAGTCTTATTACCATTAAAGCAACATAATCAGTAATTAAGAATCTTCCCACAAATAAATACTAGGGCCAGATGGTTTTACAAGCTTTGATGAAAAAGATTGCTCCGCTCTTATACAGAGTCTTCCATAGCATAGTAAAATAAGCAACATTTCCCAGCTCATTTAATTAGATTATAACATTGATATGAAAGCCAGACAAATATGAGAAAGATTGAAAACCAATTTCAATAGAGATGCAAAAATTCCAAAAAAATACCGGTAAATTGAATTCAGCAGTACAAACGTAGTGAATTATGACCAAGAATGTAAAAGTGATTTAATGGAAGAAAGTTGTAACTAAACTTAGATCTCTGAACTCTTCAGGGAAAAATTCACCCAGTATATAGTTCAATATCTGTGTACTCCTAGCTATTCTTGGAATATACAAGGCCTACTCTCTCCTTGGTTCTTTGCACAGCCTGGTCTGCCTGATACGCCCTTCTCCCACATAGCTGAAAGGCTCCCCCGGGACTGTTCAAATGCCACCTTTCTCCACGGCCTATGTACCATGAATACCTTATTTAAATTCACAAGCCTCTCACTCTTAGCCTACACATAGTGATTCCCCATCTGCCTTACCTTGCTTCATTTTCCCTCCATAGCATCAAGCACTTATACTGGTTTTCTTTTTCTTTTTCTTTCTTTCTTTCTTTCTTTCTTTCTTTCTTTCTTTCTTTCTTTCTTTCTTTCTTTCTTTCTAAAGCTAAAGCCCATTTATTTTTATTTATTTATTTTTATTTCTAGGAGAGAGAGAGACAGCATGAGCAGGGGAGGCTCAGAGAGAGAGGGAGTGACAGACTCTGAAATAAGCTCCAGGCTCTGAGCTGGCAGTCAGCACAGAGCCCGACGCGGGGCTCGAACCCACGAACCGCGAGATCATGACCTGAGCGAAAGTCGGACGCTTAACCGACTAAGCCACCCAGGCGCCCCTTTTCTTTCTTTCTTATAGTGGTTTTCTTTCTTTCTCTCTTTTCTTTCTTTCTCTTTCTTTCTTTCTTTCTTTCTTTCTTTCTTTCTTTCTTTCTTTCTTTCTTTTTCTTTCTTTCTTTCTCTCTCTTTTTCTTTCTTTCAACCTGTCTCCCTATTTTGCTTGCCTCCCCTTCCCCCGGCTCAAATGTAAGCTCTACAGGGGCAAGAATTTTTGTCTGCTTTGTTCACTGTAGTTTCTCCGGCACCCAGACAAGTCAACAGCACATGGTTAGTGCTCAATAAATACACACAACAGTACGTCTAAAAACTTTTGTAATAAGACAAACTTGTCTTACATCCTTTTGTCCTACCCATTTTGCTTGCTTTTCAGCGGCACACGTAAAAGGAGAGTGAACAAAGTTGTAATATGCCATCATCACTTTAACACTGTTTGATGTAATACGTTTGTGTTCATGCTAGACTGTGTTCCATTACCAGATGTGTCCATGTAATCCTCAGCAGAAAGAATCACATTACACAAGGGACTTATATTCTGTCCACATTTCTAAGTTTTCATTATGAGAAGAGTATCAAAATACGAAGTGAAGAGCCCTTAAATTTTTTTTTTAAACTGAATCGGTTTCCAACTTATTCAATAAAAAGCTCTGATTTTTTTTTAATGTTTTTTTTTATTTTTGAGAGAGAGACAGCGTGAACAGGGGAGGGTCAGAGAGAGAGGGAGACACAGAATCCGAAACAGGCTCCAGGCTCTGAGCTGGCTGTCAGCACAGAGCCCGACATGGGGCTCGAACCCACGAACTGTGAGATCATGACCTGAGCTGAAGTCGGACGTTTAACCGACTGAGCCACCCAGGTGCCCCTCTGATGATTTCTTTTGATGCTGGTAAACTCCAGGGAAGGTAGCAGAACCCAGGACCATCTCAATCTCGGGTAGTTTTTGGCGTCAACAGACTTAAACAATTAGAGTGCTACTTAAAGTTCATTTCATTGTCATCTGGGGTCATCACAATAAATCTCTCACAGCACATCGACATCGTCTGTGTGGTGTCGCACTGGCGTTCACTCCCTAGAAAATTCAGTTCTATTGGATTTTGTTGCACTAAGTACCAAGTGAGAGAACCTCCCCGATTTAGGGCAGGACCACATTTGAGGAAATCGAGAATGGTCATAACATCTGTATTCATTCCCAGTGCAAGTGGGATGAACACAAAGACAAATGAGAGTGGCAACGTCATCATGTGTACAAGGTAGTGCCTCCCACGTTCCCCCTCTTGCTACTGCATGTGAACGACGGAAGAACAGGAGATGAAAATCTGGCTCACTGTGTTGTGAGGTGAGCTGAATCTATATGAATCTACATGTCTCTTTTATTCTCCTCTTTTCGGGTCCAGACCTTACCTAGCATACATCAGATTAATATCAAGTTGATACAAAGTAGATCTAAAAACTGTGCTCTGCTATTTTGAAAGTGTGGAGTATGGTCATTTCCTTTTCATGAGCTTTTTTTTTTAAATTTTTTAAATGTTTATTTATTTTTGAGAGAGAGAGCCAGAGCGCGAGCGGGGGAGGGGCAGAGAGAGAGGGAGACAGAATGTGAGTGGGTGACGGGCAGAGAGAGAGGGAGACAGAGTATCTGAAGCTGTCAGCACACAGCTGAGCCATCAGCACAGAGCCCGACGCGGGGCTCGAACCCACAAGCTGTGAGATCATGACCCGAGCTGAGGCCGGACACCCAACCAGCTGAGCCACTCAGGTGCCCCTCAGGAGCTTTTGCTTTTCATGTGCCTGGAAACAGACTTTCATGCCCTTATCTTCAAACTTGAGGGTCAAATATAGGAAGATACTCATTGCCAAGTGTCGAGATTGCTAAGGGATTGCCTAATCAGAATGCAACTAGTTTCCAACTGGGACAGAAGAGGAAGAATCGTGTATGCTTGTCAGTCAGCCCCTTCCCGTTCCTACCAGCTCCCTCCTGAAAGCTACTACCCGCGACCATCAACCAACCAATGTGTGAAATAAAGTATCGCCCAGGTCACCATGCTCTCACCATCTCTACAACACAATGAGAGAGAGAGAAAAAGGCAGTGTGTTTTTCATAAAACTAAGTTTATTCAATTTAAATGATTCTGAGATTATGATTTTCTTACTTATTTGGTGCTAAAAGGCCTTTCACCTCTATGAGGATGCTAACAGCAGATAGTACTGTGGATCTTCCTGGTTCTGTTTACGTCCTCAGCAGGCAAAATTAAAAGCAAGAAACACCTAAACCCTGCAATTTACTTTTTTTTTCTTCTTGTGACAAATCTGGTGCTTAAAACTCACAGCCTAGGAACCACAGGCTTAGTAAAGACCTACCTTCTGTATCGCACCTGTCACGATACTGAGTTATTTCTTGGTGATTTCCTTCAAACAAGTTGTGGAGAGGGATAAAAGTTAAGTCACAATTTATATTAAGCCAGTGTAAAGACAGCCTGAATTTCAAGCACCAAAGAAATACACGCTTTCAATCGACACCATGGTTATACCACGTTTTATTAAAACTAGTCATATTGTTATCAATAGGGTATCAAGTTAAAAGCATAAGGCGACTTCTCCGTTATCATTACTGTGGTAGCAATAGCCTGTGGTCCCATGTGTGAGCTGTTATCAGTGCAGCGCAGAAACTAGAGGCGGGGGACCAAGTCAGTCACTTTCCTGGGGCAGAGGTTTAGTGACCCCATAGGCAGCTGCCCATCTTCATGTACTTCCTGGTCCATTTACCTTTATAAATCACACCATATAGGCTTCAGTATTTACGTTTATTTAAACTGAGAAGAAATACGTATTAGAGGAAAGCATATCTTAGCAGGCTTCACGTGTCAAAAAGAACTCCATATTTCATGTATTACTTTTCTGTCACCAGCCACCTTTGAGCACAAAAAGTTCCACATAAATGCACAAACTGGGACGCCCTTTTAGAAAAGCTCATAGCGATGCATATTGCAGTGTGTCCTCTCATAAGTGAATCAATTCATCTCCACTCCCCCAAAGTGTTCAAAAAAAAAAAAAAAGAAGTACTTTTTTGGCCATACTTTCTAAAGCACCTTTCAGAGAAAATACAAGAAACATCATCGTTGGCATCCTGGGCCAGATGAAACCGCTGGATTAGCGTTATGTCTGTCTCTGTCGTTCTGTGTTTTGCTACGATCGTGTTCCTTCCCATTACACTGTTCTTGCTAGTATTAGTTCTAGGTCCATTTGATAAGAGCATTTATACTAAACTTCAAAATAACTCCTGGTAGTATCCAGACTATACGTCTGGATTTCCTGAAACAAACGTCTGCTTTCCCCCCAATGACGACAACATGTAGCCTTATTAGTAACTGATAAAAAGACAACCGCAGGTTTTGGAGAGGGGTGGGTGCCTTGCCGCAAAGCTGGGTAGATTGGCGCACCCGGCCAAGCTACTCAGGCACTTCGATGCTTAGTTCTTCTTGGCTTTCTTCAGATAGCGAGCCCGCGTAGATTTGCCCATGTTCATGATTATTTTAAAATACAGCCAGGTAGGCATGGCTGAAATTATCGAGCCCTAGGGGAAAGAAATGGGGAGACAGATAATTACAGCCTCTAATTTGGGCTAACTTAAAGCATCTGATCTTATGTTTTGCTTTACTGTCGTTTTATTTGTAGGTAAATTTTAAAGTGCTTGGGTGTTTAAAACCACGCTGACAGCATGGAGCCTGCTTGGGATCCCCCACCGCCCCCCGCCGCACCTCCCTGGCTTGTGCACACACACTCTCTCCCTGAAAATAAACAAACTTCAAAACAAAACAAAACAAAACACAGCACAGATGCCTTGTTAGTAAGTCGAGACAATGTACACGTGCTAATGTCACACGCTGTTTTGTGACTTGGTGGGAGAGAAGACCCCCCACCCCGAACTGATGGCCTGACACCGGAAGCCCCACATACCATAAGAGAATGGATCAGGTACCCAGTGGTCCGGGACTGCAAGCCCACCGTTTGCAGTGCAGACTTCACGTAGGTTTCTGCAGAGGGCGTATCCAGGGTGGGCTTTCGGACCTTAGACAGCTTCGTAGCCACATAGAAGGGCAGGACACTCTGGAAAGGCACCGCCCCCCCCGAAAAGCACACTGGTGACTGGGAAAGCAACTGTTTCAGAATCCAATGGTGCCTCATGGCTCCCAGTGGCACAAACACAAAAACACTGTGGTGAAATCTAAAGTGTGTATCTTCTGAGAGCAGCCGTCAAAGCCAGTTGGAGAGTGCACGTGACCGGCATCAAGTAAACTGTAACAGGGCAATCTACCAAGGAAACAATTTGAGACTGAAAAAGTATTAAATGTAAGCAGAAGCAAACGTTTGTGAACCTTTCAAAAGAAGGCAGTGAACAACTCTGGAGGCAGAGGCTCCTATGGGATACTCCTTCTACTCTGGATTGAGCGCTGTTATGAAACCACCATGTAGATTTTTGACATCCGATCCTCCCCAAGAGATGATGCTAATGGTCTTCACAATTTGTGGCTCATTAAGATGGTGGTACCAGCTTTGGCCCCTCTAAAAGAAGCATTTCCTTTTCTCAGCCTTTGACAACCACTCTTCTTCCCTCGTTTCTTACCCTGCCCCATCGGAGCTTTATAAACTTTGTTACTACTAAGGTAGGGCCACCTCACCTTTCTTTCTTTTTTCTTTGTGGGGGAGACACTATGACCACATGGCAACAGCTTGGGTAAGCAAGGGACACTTGATGGGAGTGGTGTGGGATGACAGGTCTGAACACTACCTGTTAGAAGAACTTAACTTGTGTCAGGTTCTTTTTCGCTTATGCTTCATACATTTGGATAGGATCCAACATGGAAGATAAAGGAACTCTATTACAATGGGTACTGAGTCATGACACAAGAGGTCCCTTCTATACTTTGAAAGAACTTGGGCTCAGCTCTTCACCAAAGAGTGATTGTCTTCTGTTTCTCACACATGCATGAAAGGAAAGGGTATAAATTACAATGATACTTCTATGAAAGAAGAGGATCCAACACCTGGTGGTCAAAATAAAAAACTTCACTAGAGGTAGAAGTAAAATTGAGATGTGCATTTCATTCCTGCTATGAGCTAGAGGGGATGTTCCCGTGTCTCTCTGGCGTTTTGTTTGGTTTGTTTTTGTATTTTTCCCACTCCCAAGCATGAGTCACGGAAGACAAGCCACCCTCCTTAACAGGTGGGCTGAACACTAGTGACTCTCTCCATCTTTTCCTCTTAAGTGGCTGCAGCCACACACCCACACTAAGTAAACTAACGTCCCCAAAGTACCTCCATACCTGGGCCAACTCTGATTAGGTGACTCTTGGTTTTTGAGAATTTGGTTCTCACGATCCACGTGTCCCCCACTTACTGAGCAAAACTATTTTGTCGAAAAGGTCTTTACTTTTAAAGCCATGCTGCAGCCAGGATACAGTATGTGAGAGCACAAACTGAAGAGAGACCTCAGACGAACACAGTATGAAATGTTCATCGAGGCTCATACAGCGGGTAAGGAAAGAAAACGTTCACCCAGCTGAGTAGCAAAAACAAAGCAAAAGAAAGCATATGCACGTGCCCTGTGTTGAATAATGAAGGAACATAAGCAAGCCATGTCACATCTCTGTCTCAGGTTTCCTGGTTACAGAAAGGTAAAGATCAAAAACACGTTCCCATCTACAGATCACAAGCCTGCCAAGGGTACCATAAAGTTTTGAGTGTCTCAGGATGAAGATGGTCTGATAATCACACCTTCCAGTTACACAATTATATCATCACCCTCCTTCTCTCTGCAGATACATGGCATACATCGGACTATTTCGATCTTGCAGAAGAATTAAGTCGTACTGCCTGGCTGAGCCGCTGGATGGCGCCTCAATTCAACTCACCATTCAGCTAACCGTCCAGGCAGCCTAGGGAGCCTCCCAGCTCCAGAGGTGGAGACAGGAGACACAGGCCTAGGAATTCCAAGTTAACAGATGTTCTTCCAGTAAAGAAATGCAAAGCCAAAAAAAAAAAAAAAAAAAAAAGCAAATCCTATTCTGGAAAGAATTTTTGACTAATGGTTTAAAGTCAAGGCAGTTCACGTGGCCTGGCCGAGGATGGATGCAAAGGATTCAGAGATGAAATAACTGTAGACACAGGTCTTAAATAAAGTGGAGGAGTCTGCCAGGTAAACAAACAAGGCGCGGTCGTTTTGGGTGGTGAGAATAGCAGGGGCACAGAAAAGGAGAGAGAGCGGGATGTTCTCAGGGAGCCGTGAGCTGTGCGGTACGTATGGTTCAGGTGTCAGAACTGTGGGAGGCGGTGGCAGGGGGAAAGCTAAACTGAACAGAAAACTAAACCCAAGCACTGGACAGCAGTGATTTCTAGAGCAGAAACACTAAGAAGACATGGCCTTACTGACTGCCATGTTGCCAGCCCTAGAGCACAGGAGGGGTGACTTAGCCAGAGAACACCTTGGGGTGCACAGCTCTGAAGAAGGGTAGTGGGCTCCCCTTCCACTGCTGCGGCCCAGGAAACTAATTACACCAGGAAGCTGACAGTGTAATATGAGAGTTTAAACCAAAATTTTTGATATTCTGAAGCTTAAGCAAGAGCACCTATCTAAACCAAGACAAACTTAACAGGTCTAGCTACTTGCCAAGAATTTAAAAAGCATATTTCAAGTTATTGTAAAAGAAACGTACCTCACAATGTCATCTAGGTACCTCCTTAAAGGGTTCAGCAAAAACACAATAAACAAGGGGGCGCCTGGGTGGCTCAGTCGGTTAAGCGTCTGACTTTGGTTCAGGTCATGATCTCACAATTCGTGAGTCTGAGCCCCACATTGGGCTCTGTGCTGACGGTTCAGAGCCTGGGGCCTGCTTCGGATTCTGGGTCTCCCTCTCGCTCTGCCCCTCCCACATTCGTGGTCTCTCTCTCTCTCTCTCAAAAATAAACAAAAAAAGATTTTTTTAATAAAAAAAAAACCCAATACTTAATCCATTTTCCTGCCTACTGATGGAAACATTACAGTGAACTGGTCAAGTATACTCACCCTTCTACAGCAAATATTTTGGGCAGAACAAACTTTACAAGTTGCTTAAGCTCAAAACTTTGCCACTATAAATACTAGTCCTTGGAAACAACGTGGGTCTTCACAGACCAGGTGCAGGCAATGCCTGGTCTTCCTGTTCGGAATCACAAAGTGAAAATAACTAACTGGGCCCTAAAGCTAAGCTGTTGATGTTTTGTCCTTATTCAGCCTGTTTAAAAACCAATCCCTGGCGACCACTTGGTACCCTTTCCCCATGCACTGGGGTAGCTTGCTGAGGTAATTTGGTCCTTACAGGACAATTTAGGGGCCTTACTCAGAATAGGACGGCTATTGTACTTCATAGCATGGAGTAATGGAAAGATGGAGCCCATCGTCACCTGCGTACTAAACATGACTTCTTGATTTTAAAAATTACCAGAAAAGGGTCACCTGGGTGACTCAGTCGGTTGAGTGTCCGACCTTGGCTCAGGTCATGATCTCACGGTTTGTGGGTTTGAGCCCCGTGTCGGGCTCTGTGCTGACAGCTTGGAGCCTGGAGCCTGCTTCAATTCTGTGTCTCCCTCTCTCCGCCCCTCCCCTGCTCACATTCTGTCTGTCTGTCTTTCTCTCAAAACTAAATAAATATTAAGAAAAAAATTAAAAATAAATGAACAAAAATGACCAGAACAACTCACAACTCACAGCCATGCTTTGGAAAACGTGGGTCCAGAGGCTATAGGCCCCCATCTATTTGCACAGTATGGGATTCTAGACATGACATCTCATCTGCCTTTTAGGAGAGTTATGTGCACCAGTGTGACTGGCTCACATTCTTAAGGCAGAAGCTGTGGCTCGTGTGAGGCATTGTAGAGAATCTTTTCTCCTTACATCTGTGTATTTACCTTCCATTTCAGGATATGATTGCCCCCAGAAGATCTAACTCTATACTCAGATCCAAGCTTTGGGGTTTGCAGACCATGAAATAAGCTTTTCCACAAAAAGGCTGCTGCTTATCTCATTGGTAGCAGTACCTGGAATTCCTAGAACATGGTAGGAAAAAGGAATCACTGATGGTGCAGAGATCCCGGACTACATGGTGTTGAGCAAAGGCCCCATGGGAACATTACCTATGAACCGTAACACCTAAGCCCCAAATGAAGGAGTTAAAATGTTGTATGTTCTGTACAAAGAAAATCCCTTTTAAAAAAAAGTTTATTTATTTATTTTGAGAGAGAGAAAGCAAGCAGGGAGGGGACAGAAAGAGAGGTGGGGTGGGGGGAGAGAGAGAGAGAGAGACAGAGAGAGAGAGAGACAGAGAGAGAGAGAGAGAGAGAGAGAGAGAGAGAGAATCCCAAGCAGGCTCTGAATTGTAAGCATGGAGCCCAATGCAGGGCTTGAACTCGTGAACTATGAGACTTGAGCCAAAACTAAGAGTTGGACCTTAACTGACTGATCCACCCAGGTGCCCCTGTACAAAGAAAATACTTGATAAACACTGGCTGGCTGATAATCTTACAAATGATCTACTTCCGAATATGTGGAATTTATATGTTAACATTCACAGAACAAAAGGAAAAACAGAGTAATATCACAAAAAACCTTTACTTAACAACAGATATTTCCTGAGCACTTACTAGGACACGGTTTCAGGCAGTAGAATAGGGTTGTGGACAAAAGGAAAGTCCCGAATCTTACAGAGCTTACACCTGGGGTGGAGGTGGGGGCCCACATACTACCAACAAACAGTGAAAAAAAAATGTATGCTATATTGGGAGGTGATGATAAGAAGGAAGAAGAAAAGTAAACCTGAATAGCAACAGGGGTGATAGCAGCTCTTCCTGCAGGTGATCAAGACAGGCCTCTCTGATGTGACGACAAAGATTTCAATCTTTGCTCATATGAGCTAGCGAAAAGGCTATCTGGGTAAATATCCTTTTAGACTGAAAGAGCACCAAGTGCAAAGGACCTGAGGTAGATATGTGCTTGGAGTAGTTGAGGAACTGCAAGAGAACCAGAGAAATAACCGGGGGTGGGGGGGGTGGGGGGGTGGGGGGAGATAATGTAG